TTAGATTTTATGAATCAGCTAGACGGTTTGACAGATAGTTTTACCCACTTTCAACAATTGGAACATGAATACATAGGTTACCAAAGTTTGACAGATGTGCCAAGGGCGTTGAATTACACCGACCAACTGAAGGATTTATCTGTAAGACTTAATATAATATATATATTTCAAATATTTTCAGTTACTAAAATAAGTATTTCAGAGTTACAAGGATAAATCTACTAATGAAATTATAGAGTGTCTCAAAAATCAAGACAGTTTGTATGCTAAAGCGCAGTTGTACGGTTTTATACTGAGGCGGGAAGGAAAACATTTTAAAATCCAGGATACTACAATTGAGAATTCATTATTGTGTAGGTATATTAGGGTGGCATTCATGAATTAATTTATGTAGTGTAGTTTAAAGCTTAGACAAAAAAAGACTGTCCAGCTATCGTTCACCGCTACGTCATGTATTGTCTGAGATCAGCTCATATTGTTTAAAAAAATTTAAGTGCGTTCCTATATTATTGACTGAGCGAGTTCCGTTTTTTCGGCATTTATTCATTTTTTCTTGAACTCTTCATCAGTTACGATCCCTTTAATTCCAATCCTTTGGACTGTTGAAATTCCTATTTCTAAAGCATCAACAACTCGCTATATTATTTTAAAACGCTATCAATTTGTATTTTACATAGGAATATTACACCTTTGTTTTGTACTTACTTCATATACGGCGTCCACGGGCAAGAGTGTTCTACCAGCGTCTCTTTCTCGATAATAATAATTATTTATAAGCTTAGCAATGAATCATTGTTCATTTTGGTTAAATCTTTGAGGCATTTTTGCAATAAAAAAATTTGAATTTTTTTTACAACAACAATCAAACTTTAATTTTGACATTGATCGATGACCGTCAATCAAATGATAACCCCAGATCAAATGACAGTGATATTTACTAAAAGGAATATGCAGTAATTTACAAAATGCCGTAATGACGTCACGATTCTCTTTCATTTGGCTGGCAAGTGATTGAGAGAGTTCGACAAAACAAATGACGTGACGTTGAACGATGGTTGAACATTCTATACACAGTTTTTTTTACATTTATTTTCGTGATCTTTAAGAAATTTATGGCCACCCTAAGGTGTTAACAAGTAACCCTTAAGACTAGTTTGTATCTTTTAGCTCTTTACCATCATGCTGGATGCCTCAGACACTGGTCAGCAGTCAGATACACCAGTAGTCTGTTACATCATACTGTAGATTCTATAAGTCCTTTTATTACTGCTGTCTTGGTTCATGGAAAGCAGGTACATAAGCCAAATAATAGAATAGATACGATAAAAAAAGGGCTTCAAAGACGGCTATGCATTTCTCAACCGTCTATGACGGTTTTTTTTCGATCGTATATAATTTTCGTTAACTTATTGGGAATATCTTTATAATATTTTACACTTTCAGCTGACTGTAGGTGTTATTGGACAGAATGAAACAGTTTTCGACAAACCAATGACACCAGCCGAAATCCAGTCTATAGTTTACAGTACAATAAAACCCTATGACGTCATACAAGCCGTATTGCAACAGGAAATTACTTTATATTGTGGTAGACTAATTTCTACAAACCCAGAGTTATTTACAGGTAAAAAAAAGTATATATTAGCGATACCAATTAAACTTTTAGTTACGTAATCGAGGGCGAGATGTTTAAATTCATTGTTGCCAACCATGGACATATTCGGCGCCGGGCTGACTAACTGAAATTTAAATTTCCCGCTGGGGATTCAGGTGATAGCTCTGCTGTAAGAACTGTCAAGTTGCCACATTTATTTATTTATTTCCTGACGTTGTCATTCGTTTTGACACTTTAGTTTTGTATTACGAGTTTTTGGATTGTGTTGTGATACTTTAAGCTTAAAATGTTTTACTAGCAGACCTTGCAGTCGAACATTGTTCGTTTTAGAACCTCTTTTAGAGCGAAGTGTACAAGATAGCTTAATAGCCGTAAAAAACTCATTGCAACTTTATTAGAATATTTTGAACGGGAAAGCGATAATAGTAATGGACCTTTATGTCCCTTAAGTACTGTTAAGGAGAGTTAGTTTTGTTAATGTAAATAATGAATGTGTATATATTTATAATTAATTTATTTTTGTCGCTAAATTATTTTTGATTAAAAAGAAAATATGTAAAAGTCGGCAACGCTGTAGCCGGTCAAGCTTAATCTCCGTGTTACTAAAAGTTTGTTTGGTATAATCTCTATGTACGCGGTATGATCCGAGAAAAACGGCGTCAGCGATGGCTATGGAATGAAGAAGATCGCTGTCATTTTATATGTAAAATTTATATGGGAAATGTCATCGATGCGTTCATTTCCTAGCCAACTGACGCCTTTTTTTTCAATCATACGGTATATATATGTTTAATTTTCTTAAATTTAAAGTAGAACAATTGAGTAACATAATATTATTAATTAATTTTCAGGGATTTTAAAAATTAGAGTTGGTTGGGTTTTGGAGGCAATGAAATATTATTTAGATATCATAGGAAGTAAAAAGAAGATCGAAGAACATAGTCCTTACGAAATTAGACAGTTAATTTTTAAGGTTTTATCAATTACAGAGTGTGAATCTCATAATAGTTTAAAGTAAGTACTAATAAGCATTTCTTTAGTGTTTAGGTTATTATGAGAATAAATAACTTATAATAATGTATATTTCATATACAAGGTGTCCCACTTAAGATGGATACAAGCCAATATCTTGATTGTTTGTTGAGCGATCTTTTATATTTTTGGCAGGAGGCTGTATGGCTATAAGACGTACATTTTGCACAGGGTAAGAAATGCGATACCTCATAGACGTACGTTTGGGGTTTGATATTTTTCGAGTCAAGAGTAAACTACCCTTAGGACAGTATTTATTTCAAATCTGATAAATTATATTGAATCCTGCTTACCCAAGATACTTAAGTTCTAATTTTGATAAATATTGATACAGGGTGTGTTATTAAAATAAGGCATTTTTATTTTTATTATTTTTTTTAAGTACTTATAACGCCACTGGATAAACAACTTGTTTATTATCAATAACCAATTATAACCAATTATTATCAATTAATAATCGATTTAAGTTTTCAGATAGCTTCCATAATAATTAAGATACAATACAAAAAAACTAAATATTTTCAATTTATTTTGTTACTTTAAAAAATTGTTTTTTAAGTTTGCTAATACAAATGAATAAAATGAGTTACAAAATAATTTAAAAACCCCGTTTTCAATGGAATCTGAAATATGATTTTTATTCATTTTATTGAGGAATATTTAAAAAAAATCGAAATAGTTAGATATTTAAAACAATCACTATTAACTTTGAAAAATATGCTCTAAACAAAGATTTATAAAACTATAACGAACTAAAAGTCAACATCTTCGACCAAACTACCATAATTGGATATAATTGGTTACTGATAATAAACCAGTTGTTTATCCAGTGGCGTCGTAAGTACTTAAAAAAAATAATAAAAATAAAAATGTCTTATTTTAATGACACACCCTGTATCAATATTTATAAAACTAGAACTTAAGTATCTTAGGTAAGGAGGATTCAATATAATTTATCAGATTTGAAATAAAAACTGTCCTAAGGGTAGTTTACTCTTGACTCGAAAAATATCAAACCCCATTAAAACATACGTCTATGAGGTATCGCATTTCTTACCCTGGGCAAAATGTACGTCTTATAGCCATACAGCCTTATGCCAAAAATGAAAAAGATCGCTCAACAAACAATCAAGATATTGGCTTGTATCCATGTTAAGTGGGACACTCTGTATATACAGATTTGACTGTTTGAAGTTCCATTTGGCACATTTGACAGTTAGTAGCTATTTCAAAAACGACATAAGTTTATGGACTTGTGTCCTTTTTTTATTTAAACGTATACCATTTTTATTTTGTTGATATTTTTTAGGTTAGAGCCATTACAAAAAAGACAATTAGAAGGCTGTTTATGTCGGGTACCGCACAGATTCTACAACGAAGTTTGGGACGTTTTATTAAGAACTCCCAAAGGAGTTGTAGTCGAGGGAAACATAATTCCCAGGGAACCCACTATGTCCAACATGACAAAAAACGAACTGACATTTTCGTTGTTAGTAGAAGAGGTTTGCTTTAATTATTACATAACCTTAATTTTAATATATTTTATATACTTAATATTTTTCAGATGCTAAATCATATCAATGTGCCAGAATACAGACAATTAATTGTAGAACTTTTAACGATAGTTTCAACGATTTTGGGAAGGAATCCAGAGTTAACGTTCAATCAACCTTTGAACTTGAGACAGTTAGTTACTGATGCTGCCCATATGTATGCTAAGGTAAAAATAATATAAATTTACTAGCTTTTGCCGTGAGTATTTTTACTGTAAGTACTCAGTCACTTAAAAAACCTTTGTACAAAAAGTCGTATTTCTAGGACACATTTTAAGAAATTTTTATGCAACCTTGACTCCCTAATATTTGCGTCACGCAAGTAACCTATGCGTCAAATTTCATGCTAGGTCAAGCGGTTTCGTAATTATTATCATTATTATATTATCATTTATTTTTTTTTATCTCTCGCTTTTTGCGGTTGGTATTAAGGAGTATAACCGGGTTTTATCGACCAAGGTTATTAATCCTTTACGAAATATCTCCTAATTATATGATAGGTGCCTAGAATAGCTGCCTTTTGTGCAATTCCTGCTAATGAGTTGTTCATGAATCTTCTTTCAATGAGTCCGTTGCACGATATGATGAACGGTAATATTTGAACTTTCTTCAGTTTGTACACGCGTTTTAATTTGTAGCTTAGGTCTTGATACTTATTAATTTTTTGTGCATATGTTTTTCCCAGATTATCATTATAATATTTATTATTATTATTTTTAGAAGGGATATATTTTAAGTTATAATCAAATTATTACTATCGATATGTCAAAATAATAGTTTATTTTTTCTAATATGTTTATTACAGATTTACTATCAGATTTTTAAGTCTGGTCTGATGTATCTGGCGTATTGCAATAATTCTTTACTATCCTCACAAGCAAAAGAACGTCTTCTACTGCATACAGCATCATGCCATTTAATCCCATCGTTATATTTATTGTTGAATACAGCCAAACAACTTTCCAGTTTCCTGTTTATAGAATATTCCCTAAAAAATATTACATTAAATATTTTATCAAGTATAAAGAATAAATAAAAGTTGATGTTCTTGAAATTTTGGAAATTTTGAACTCCTTGATGAGATAAACGCAATTTTATTAATCAGAATAAAAGTTTATTGAAATTTATAACAGCAAATTATGGTTTTTATAATTTTTTAAAAGTTTTAACATCCTGCAACTTTAAAACTATGCATTTCCGCACCCATGTATAGGAACGTTTTTTCATATTTTTTTGACGAGGAATCAATGAGAACTTATTTAATACTTTGGCGAGTTAATGACATTAAAAAATTTAAACCTTGCTATTAGACTTGGATTAAAGCAATTTAATAAAATTGCATTTATCCCATCAAGGAGACCGAAATCGACAAAATATATACAACTTTTAATGAGCATTAAACGTTCTATACCATTTTGCTAACCAGAGAAAATTAAGTCACTTGCGCACATTTTTTTTAGAAAAATATTCCAGTGATAACCCATATGCACGTTTCTGGTGAATATGTCGACAGTTTTTTACCATTAAAATATGTTACACTTATAGTAACTTTCACCCTCAAAATTTCATTCTCATCACTAAAAGCACTTGGAAGAAAATTATAATAAATCAAAAAAAAAATGAAGAATCTCCACACGAGGGATAGCACATGTTTTTTGAAACACCCTGTATATTTCAATTTCATCTAATATACCTGTTGTCCGGTTGTCTTTTTCCCAATTCTCCAGTTTCCGACCAGTCGTTTGAAATTCTATCTGTAGTGGGAGGCAGTTTTGCAAAGATGGAGGTCCAAAACCAACCGTTTACGTCTTTAGGCAAGAGGTCCGGTCTGTTGCAACCCTTAAAATATAATTACTGTTTTAAAATTTTAGTTTTTCTATGTTAGATCAAAATATTTTACGTTAAAATCGCATATTCTGCCAGACGTCCAAACTTCGTCGACATCATCTCTTGCGATTGCTAACTTTAACCATTCGTTTTTTTCTTTTGTCTCCAATGATACCAAATCCATGCAACGCATCCTACAGTAGTTTCTTGCTCCTAACCAGTCTTCTTCATCAATATTTTCTATAAAAGAATACACCTTAAATACCTACGATATAACTGTTATCTATATCCAGGGTTGCCACCTTTTGTATTTAAAAAATCAGGACAACATTAGTGCAACCTTTTTTCTTAAATGTAAAATTTTATGTGGCCATCGCATTTTGAAACAATATTTTATGCCATTTTGTTTTAACATTTTCGTTAACTTAAAAAAACTATTTGAAATTTATAAATAATGATGTAAAAATAAAAAATGAAAAGTTGAAAACAAAATTAATAAACAATCAATTAAATTTAAAACAATTAGAACAAAACCTAAACAAAATCAAAACTTTAAGCTGTATAATCTGTATAATTGGCTTTAGTAGTTAATTTAATTGTTTTTAAATGGCCATTTTTTGGCAAAATAAAACACCAATTCAGCACAATACACCAAAACACTTTGAAATATAACATACTTAGTATACACAAGCATAAAAAGGCTTTAACCCCTACAAGTGCGCTAATTTCCATTAAACTTATTTTACTTTTAACACTGAAAACTATACATTTTTAATTAAATCACAAAAAAAACAGCTTAAGCAAAAGAATATGCGCTACAAATACAAACATTTGCTTCAAGTTAAGTCAAAGAACTAATAGCTCACCTCTCCAGTGATAAAAATAGTTTGTTCCAGCCTGTGAAGTCTCGTGAATAATTCTTTTTTCGCACAATTCAGGCATAGGACCTTCCAGTTTTCTGCCATTAGGAAATTGTCCACAAACATAACTTACTACTAATAATAAAATTAAAAACCTTACAATCATATTGATAATACTACTAACACAGTAAACAAGACACTAACTGCTCATTCTGAATTTTCTTATTAAACATTTTTAACAAATTTAGAAAGTACCCTAATGGTATTTTAATCCCTTTTAACACTAATTGATGTAAATTTTTCAGGATAATGGTTTGAAAGAGGAAAAGATCGAGTATTTAATGGAGATACCTTACATGCAATCTACAGGGTATTTAGCGAGGGCTACAGTTAATACCGTTTTAAAAGGTGGCCAAATTACTGGGAAATTAGATAGTGAAGGGCACTCAGCTTGTAAATTACAATAGAGTTCTTTTTAATTTGTATATAATTGTATAAGTATAACTAAATGATTTATAGGAGTTATATGATTTTCGTGCCTTATTGTAGTTTTAATGTTATACAGTTTTTTTGAAAAGTGGTTTTTCTCTATAATTTTTTTATTTATTATAGTTGGGGGTTGGAATTTTTGGTGTTAAACGGCAAAATAAAACACTGATTCACCAAAACACTTTAACCAAACCAAACAAAGTGTTTCGGTGTATTGTGGTGAATTAGTGTTTTATTTTTTCAGATAAAAAACAAATTTAAATCAGAATTGATTGACGCATTTCTCAGTTATGTCTCAATGTTGAAAAAATAAAAGTTATAGAAAAAAGCCACTTTTGAAATAACACCCAGTATAAGTATAACTAAATGATTTATAGAAGTTATTGATATTATTATTGTGCCTTACTATGTTTTTAATGTTTTATTTTAATTTTGAAAAGGCCAAAGAAAAGAAATAAATATGATTACGAACTTTATTTTTATTTATTACATATTATTTAAATATAAGTCTTCTGATACATCCCAAATATTTAAATCTTCTGCAGCCGGTATAGATTTCTTAATAAAGTTTTTGTCATGTTTATAATATTCCTTCCAGCATTTCTCTTTACTTTTACAAATACAATCTTCTGTAACGTCTTCCTGTAAAATTACAGCATTTTTCTTAATTTTTCTACCAGTTTTATCCATTATTGTTCTTATATCGTCATAATGAGGTGTCATTAACAATCCTAAGCTGGGATAAATAACGAAACCAAAGATAAATGTTGCTGTAAGTATAAAGATGGGTACTGACACTGCCCAATGTCTTTGTGGTAAAAAATTGAACCCGACTAATTCAAAATACTGCTTAGGTACTAACGACCATATTAAATAAATTGCAAAGAGTAGCTGTAAACTTAGAAACATGACAAAACCATATACGGCCCTGCTGGGTGTTGGGGCAGGCGTATGGTGTGGCATATTGTGACAAATATCCTTAATAATGACTGTATCTTTCAGGTTTTGGATGCCCGATAGTGGTTATTGTTTCAGCTACTAGCTCTACTTTTTCCATATGTTTTCTTAGAGCTGTCCTTATGTGGCTAGCCTCGTAGCCACTGAATTTCCTACAATAATAACAACGTTTTTATCTTATTATATTATAGCAGACAATTTAAACTTACGCTTTAATAGTTTTATCCTGTAAAGTTAATTCTCTCTTAACTCCACCTCTTTTAGGTTCCTCGTCAACTCTTAATACATCAAATGTTATTTGTGCACTTTGCTTGTTAGAAAAAGGTACTTCGACTTCACTTAAATATCTTAAGTTAAGGAACATAATAAATTGATAAATATAAATATATGTTTTATATAAAAAATACGAAATATATTTTATATTACACAAAGGAATTCGAGAAATAGTTTGAACAAGAACTGAGTGCTTATAAGTAAGTTATTAGAAAAGGATACATTTCTAGCTCTTTGGTGTTGCTCATTTTCGATCTTCAGAGGAAAATACAAACTTATTCTTTTGCTGAACGGTAATTTTCAGCACAGGAAGTGTATAATTTTTATTTTAAACTTCTTATTTTTCTCTTCCGCCTTGTTTTCTGTCATAAACTCAAATTATTGCTGTACTTCTTTATTTTTGTTGTTGTCTTTGTTTAATATTTAACCATAGATTATATTTTAGACTCTCCTTTTGATAATTTTTCTGGATACTGGCCAAATGACCTATATAAGTTGAAACCATTTAAGAAGAAGGAAGAAGAAATCTATATCAAATCTGTGGTTATCTATATTTCGAGCCATAATTATAGAAAAGAAGAACTTTACTTTTCTCTGTGGTTACGGTTCTTTTAGGACCTGAAATATGAAAAAGAAGAAGAATGCAGGTGGCGCTATTGTAAAAATGGTGAGGAAATTTTGAACTAAAGTATTTCCTACGTTGCCAAGATGTTAGCGAAATCCTGAAACAAAAATAAATTAAATTAATATTTTTGTAAGTGTAAAATGAACTGAACTGTTACAAAATCATGATCGATATTTCGTAACAATTTAATTCGTTTTAAAAAGGTTTTAAACTTACAACAATATTGATTTAGATTCATGATTTAGATTAGTATCAGAATTTCGCTAATATCTTGGCAACCTTGGAGACACTTTAGTTCAAAATTTTCTCACTTTTTCCACAGTGGCGCTATCTCTATTCTTCTTTTTTTCCGTATTTCAGCAGTGGGACTCTGTGTCATGTAGAATTCTACATATCGTCAGAATTCTATAGGATCGGCACTCCGTGCAGCAACGATATCGATAAGATGCGATTATTTTGGTCGCTTGATTTCTACATTTCAATTGGTATCGAATTCTACGTAGCGCACGCGTATTGAGAATATATTTCACATTTTATGTAACAAAGAAGAATTCTAGCCGGATAGTCCTAGTAGCTTAGGCCTGTAAATTAATTAAAAAGAGAAGAATTCTACATTTAATTCTACATAACCGGAACTGTTGTTATTTTTCTAAAAATTAATATTTTATTTTTATTTTCAATTTTCAATGCTTTTACCCAGTTTTTACCGTTTTTTGCCAACTGTATTGTTAAATTACTTATCACTAGAATCGTACGGTTTTGAATTTAAGTTATAATCCAGAGAAAATTGTGATTTTATGTATATTTTTTAAAAATATTAGGTATTCTCCATTAGTATGGGGAAGTAGGTATCCTTTTAACAGACTGTTCATATTTGTACATATATACTTTAATTGTAATTTTGTGATTTTGAATACTATCTTTAAAGTTACAGTTTTTCTTAATAATTTATTTAGACACGAAGAATGGAGGAAACTTGCAAAGAAATTAAGGCGAAAAAAAATACGACAAATTCGAGCAAAAGAACGAGATCTTAAATTAGAGGAAGGTAATGAAATGTTTGTATAATACCTATCATTATTAAAAATGTGTGATTTTAATTATATTTCTATTAAAATTCTGTGTTGCCCTTTGAACAGATCAACGAAAGTTAATAGATTCTCCACATTATCAGCAATGGATTCAACAACAGGAAATTATTGAGCAAGAGAAAGAGGAAGAAGAATTAAGACAATCAGCTCTAAAGTATGATATGTTTTATAATTATATATCTTCTATATACATTATTGCGTGGAAGTCTCATATTATCGTTGTCAAACCAAAGATATGCAAAAAAAAGTTTTACAAAAATGTTGCACCTTAAAACTAACAAAAGAAGTAATCATACAGTAAGTTTTTCAAATTGCAACTGCTATTTTTCTGTACAGGGTAGTTTTTATAGCGTGGCCAACATTGCAGTATTTGTTATGCTATATCTCAATTTTTTCCAATGCAACACTTATCTATTTTTTCATATCTTTGTCAACGACGACAATACTAGAATTTCTAGCACTAATGGACCACCCTGTGTGTTCGAAAGGGTATTTTGTGGGAATGATAATACAAAGAGAAGCTGTGTATGTTAGGGAAATTAAAATAACTTTGGTTGCACATCATAATACGACCACCAGCAAAATCCATAACCAACGCATGGTGTCATTGATGATGTGCAACGAAAGTTGTTTTAATTTCCCTTTATTTTTAAGCGATTTACATTGGAGAAAAGTTGAAAAAGAAGCTCAAAAGCAATGGCAAGAATTACAGAAAAAACTGGCTCTGGCTCGCGAAGAAAAGATGAAACAAAACATAAAAATAAGAATGGAATGGGAGAGAGAACAAGAAAAACTGAAAGAGTTAAAAATTGCAAAAGTACAAGGTATTTAACATATAATTTATCATAAAATTTAACGAGATATTTCAACAGGAAAAACAACTGGAGTTGAAACGTATCCAACAGGAAGAACGTGAAAAATTATTACTGGACTTCTTGGAACATGGTGGTGAAACTCCGGAACACTTGAAAGCTCCTCTGGAAACTAATCCCGGAAAGCAAATATGTCCTTTCTTTGAGAAAGTTTCCGCTTGTAGATTTTTCGATAGCTGTTCAAGAAATCATGTACGACCTGGAATTAGTAAAACCATTTTAATAACTAATTTTTTTACAGACATCAGGTAATAAGTGATTTTTTTATTTTTAGCCCTATTTTCATGAATTTTTAGCAAATTTTATATAAATATATCAAATTTATTTTGTAAACTTAGTTTTCTATATTGGTTTATTTTTAAGAGCGAAATGAACTTGCCACAAACATTTTCCATTTTTTTCAATTATCATTACTTTTTGATGGTATTTTTCAATATGACGAGGTGGTATTGGTGATTATTGTGCAAAAAATTATAGCAAACCCTATAGAACACAGTTGGGATATGCTTAGCAGGAGGCTTAGAGGTTGTGGGCTCCAGTTCATTAAATGAACTTCTCTTGGTACTTGAAGAAGAATGGGAAAACATAATTTAATATTATATTTGCAGCCTCAGACAGTATAGTATGAACAGACCTCTACAGGCAGTTACTACAGAGGGAAGCCATATAAAGGAATATTAAGTTGTCATATTATTAATAATTTTTAATTATAACCAAGACTGTATGGTTATTCTTTTTTAATCTAGTATAGAGTATATAATGTGGCATCAATATGACATTAGGACAATAATCACCAAAACCACTTTAGTAGTACTAGAAATAATGTACTGACTAATAGTTTTTGATCTAAATTTTAGTTTAGAAGCCAAAGAAAACGAACATGGAAGTGATTCAAGTTTGGAATTTGAAAGAGAGGATACTTACGCCCATTATAGAGATTTCTTTTTTGATGTAGTACCGGAATTAGAAAAATGCGGAAAAATAAGGTTACTTGCTATTTTTTATATATTTCAAAATACAGGGTATTTCAAAGATAAATATTTTTAGGAACTTTTACACTTGCTGTAATCATGAGAGTCATTTAAGAGGGAATGTATATGTAGAATATTATACTACAAGAGATGCCTTAGTTAGTTATCATAAATTTAACGGAAGATGGTATGCTGGTAGGCAATTAAATGTTAATTTTTCCAAAATTAATAGTTGGAAGGTTGCAATTTGTGGTTAGTATTTTTTTAAACATTTGCACGTATTTCTATAGACTATTTTTGAAATATTATGCTACCATGGTCCATTGTGCATTTTTAGAAAAATCATGATGTATACCGGGTGCGTCTCAAAAGTGGCTCATCCCTATAATCCCTTTTTTATTTTTTTTTCAGATAAAAAACGAGATTTGGTATGTTAGTATATGATATAAATTAGGATTGATTGATGTATTCAATTGTTTTTGGCCACTTCCTGTTTCACTGGAAATAACAACAACTTTTGATTTTTAAAAGGCAAATGACATTCTGAATAGAATGACATATCATATGTCAATTTTTGTGAATTCTCACGTAATGAAAAATCGTATTCTAAATTTCAATCTAGAGTGCTATGGCTATGTTAAAAACACTAATTCTTAATGAAGGAGCCTTAGAAAAATAAATTCGATCGTCTAATGTTTTTAGTGTCTTGTCCTGGCTGGTTAAAAAATGCCCAAATTGTATTTTTAATCATATCTCAGTTTTTTCAAATAGAACAAGGATGGCTCATTAGTATATTTGGAAAAAGCATTTTTTTACGAATAATTTGATACCACACACTTGGTATTTTGGTCAAATTTTCGTTATGAACCGCATGTTACAATTTCAAATAGACCATATGCGAAAATGTAAAAGGTTGACATATGATATGTCATTCTATTCAGAGTGTTATATTTTATTGAATAAAGTAAAAAAATATCGAGGGTGCCATTTGAAAGTCAAAAATTGGAGTCATTTCCGGTGAAACAGGAAGTGACCGAAAACAATTGAATACGTCAATCAATCCTAATTTATGTCATATACTAACTTACCAAATCTCGTTCTTCTTAACTGAAAAAATAAAAAAGTTATAGGGGTGAGCCACTTTTGAGACGCACCCGGTATAACCCTGTATATGGTCTAATTGGAACTTTGTATGTTAAAATTTTCTTCTAGGTTTGTTTTTCCAAAGGAAGTGTCCTAAGGGAAATTCTTGCAATTTTTTACATATATTTAATAATCCGAAAAATCTTTATAATCACCAAGAAGAAGAAAGATACAGATACACGAAGTCAAGGCACAAGAAAAATAGTTTTGAATTTGAAAAGGACGATTTTGAAAGGTGGGTTTGGATTTAAATTTGGTAAAAAATATACTGGATGTGTTTTACAGAACTTGAGCATTAAAAGTATTTTTCGATTTAAATTAATGTCCTATAAATTTGAATATACAGGGTGTTTCAAGAAACGTGCCATCTCTCGTGGGGAAATTCCTCTCCTAAAAATAAGATTTATTTTTCATATTAACATAGGTGGTTAATATGAAAACTAATCGTATTTATACGTGAGGAATATCCCCACGAGAAATGGCACATGTTTTTTGAAACGCCCTGTATTTATTAGGTGGTATTAAGTGTCCCATTTTCGTGTGTTTTATGGGGTGTCTCGTTTATTTCGGGAACAAATTAGTCCTGTATTTCGAACTAAGATGGTTTAGGGACTAAGATGGATGTTAGGACAAATCTGTATATAACATCATTAGTTTCATAAAAAAAACTATCTGTACTCATAAACGAGAAACACTGTAAATCACGAAAATAGGACACTCTATACAGTACAGGGTGAGTCAACGATAGAGTAAAGTCCATTATCTCATTTGTTTCGAGTTTTACAAAAAATATTAAATACAAAAGTTGTAGAGATGGTTAAGATACACATTTTAAAATTATTATACAGTATACAGGGTGCTTCATAAAAGTGTGGCGAATATAACATATGTTTTTTTTAAATGCAACACCCTATTTTTTATTTCATTTTTGGATTCTGCGTAAAATTTCATAACTTTTTTATATATAATGTTATATACCTAAAATTAATAGTTTTTGTTATATTTATATTTGTTTAAACAAATGTTAGATTGCAGTGTAATAAAAAATTGTCATTGATGGCATTGATTCTGAAGTTGGACAACTAACATTTGGTAGGAGAATTTTATAGAGATATAGAAAAAGACCTATGTAAAGATATTTTAGTTAGATGTTACAGGGTGTTCAAAATATATTTATGAATTTCAACTACTTAAAATCAAGAAATTTCAATTTTTTTAAATGGTGCATCTATATATTATAATTTTTTTCTGATAGATTTTACAAAACTCTTCAACTTTTATTAAGTATGTCATATACCTATTTTTATTAGTTTGCGATTTATTCCATTTTTTTCTATTTTACCCATATTTTTAATACAATTGCGCTATAACATCATAGTCACCATGATAAAAACACGGACAAGCCTAGAAAACCACATTTTTTGGTTCAGTACTATATATTATATAGTATTTAGCTAACTACTATAAGAATAGATATATATTATCTAGAAAACATCTTCAGTGTGTAATGGGACGGTTTCATGGCAGTAGTAATATTGGCTTTTTTTCTGATGAATTATAAACCAGAATTACTACGAGAAAAACTTTACCGTATGTCGATTTAGAAAATTTTTCTATATCAGCAGTCTTCAGCAATTAGGTAATCTAGTATTATCCTAATCTGTGGCTATTCGCCCTGACTAAAAATCCCAAGTGTCATCTTTCATAATATAGAAATACACCAAGAAATTCACTACTGCGATTTAGTTTATTTGAGTAAAGTTAATTAATCTTAACTAATACCAGCAATTGTAACTAATTATGAACCTATTTGTTAAAGGTAAGTAATAAATATTTTTGTTTTGTCATGGCCACTATGATTTTATAGGGTAATTGTATTAAAAATATGGGTAAAAGAAAAAAAATGGGAATAAATCGCAAACTATTAAAAACAGGTGTTTGACATACTTAATAAAAGTTGAAGAGTTTTGTAAAATCTGATAAAAAAAATGATAATATATAGGGTGTCCCATTTAAAAATTTAATTTTTTTTTTTTTTAATTTTAAGTAGTTGAAATTCATAAATATATTTTGAACACCCTGTATCATTTAACTAAAATATCTTTACATATATATTTTTTTTCATTTCTATAAAACTCTCCTACCAAATTTTAGTAGGTACTCCAACTTTAGAAACAATGGCACCACTGACAATTTTTTACCACACTGCAATTTAACATTTGTTTAAATAAATTGAAATATTACAAAAACTATTAATTTTAGGTATATAACATTATATATAATAATAAAAAGTTATGGAATTTTACGCAGAATCTAAAAATAAAATAAAAAATAGGGTGTTGCATTTAAAAAAACATATGTTATAGCCGCCACACTTTTTTGAAGCACCTTGTATACTCTATAATAATTTTAAAATGTGTATCTTAACCATCCCTATAACTTTTATATTAACATTTTTTTGTAAACCTTGAAACAAATGAGATAATGGACTTTACTCTATCGTTGACTCACCCTGTACAAGTCTTAGCTGTTAGTTATTGTTTTAAATAGTCACATTCTAAAAATAGTATTATTTTAAAGTTGGGATTCCCATTCGGAGAGAAGAAATTGGAGATGGTCTGAGTCTCCTGAACACACTCCAAGAACCGGTAAATATAATAGTTATCAATAGGTTTGTTCCAACATAGTAGAGAACCGTTCTTGTACGGTTACTTTTGCGTTCCAACCAGAATTGTATTTCAATACCAGCCTAAAAGCAAGAATCTTAAGAACTCACCTGCATATTAAGACTGTATTATGATGATTATTGTTTTTCCTTTATGTCTTTGGCTATTTTCTGTTTTTAATTTGTTGATTCCTCAAGTTTTATTTGGTATTTGTCGTTTTTATACATATTTTAAATAATTTTTTTATACTAAATGTGACGAGTAAACAGTTCAAAAACCGTTCTAATCGGCATTTAATTATGGAATAGTAACAGAACTGTCCAGTCGACAAAAAATTTCTGTGTTGGAACAAACCTAGTAGTTATCAATGATTTTCTTCATTATTATCATTTTATAGAATTAGGAAAATCTTCCGATTCCAGTCATGTTTCTAGACGTAAAAGTCGAACTTCCAAGAGAAGAAAACATGAAAATTATGAAGACACTAAAAATAAACATAAGACGAGAAAACGATCTAGATCAAGAAGCAGAAGATCAGAACGAGATAAATCCAAACGTAGAAAGGATTCTTACAGAAAAAGTCGTTAATTCTTTATATGAATTTTATTGCTGTTATGCCATAGGCGTGCCTGTGTGAAATATAAGGTAAAATAAATTAAGAAAAAAAAATAGAAATTTGAGGAAATTTTAAATTTCAAGGATTTCAAGGGTAGGTAGTAAAATAAACCAAATTAGTACATAAAATATAATTGTTTTATTTGTATATACGTATTTCCTATAGCATATATTAATATATTCTCTTACGGATTGTGCTTTGAGCACACTTGTCAAGTCCCAATAATAATAATATATCATACATATAAGATTTACCAGATTTACCGTTATATCATTTTTTTTTCTAGGTTTTTTTTCAAAATATTTCTATTATACAATAATAATAATAAGTATATATATTTATATATATTTTTCTTACGAATTATATAATATTCAAATATTTTATAGGTACATATGTTCCAGCCACTTAAACATACACAATTAATTTAAATTCATTTTTAATATATATTTATAATAATTTAAGACCGTCAACCACACGTATATTTATAGAGAATAATGTACAGTATGACTGGAATAATAACAACACACGATACAGGGTGTTTTACTACGAAAAAATAATATTAAAAAATCTCCATAGACAAAACTTGACTTTTAACGAAAAATTTTGATTATATGACACAATAATTGAATTTTTACTATAAAATTTGTTTAATTTTTCATATATTTGTACATCTAATGGAATTTCTTTACAAATATCTATCTATATATGTATTAAAAAAGGAACATTATTTTTTTAAAAATATAATTTCATAAATTTTTTTTCGTCTAGGTTCCTAAAAATTGACTTAAACACTAAATATCTGGAAGAAATAAAGCGTATCCTCTAATCCATTTTGTCAAAAAACACTCTATACAGCAAACATCACATCATTTTAGCACCACTCATTTAAAATACAGACACATATAATATATAAAAAAATACCAAAAACATTTAATAATGTCTCTTGGTTTTATATAGAAATTTTTAAAAAAGAAAAATGTATGATTAGATTAGAGCTCTAATCTAACGATACATTTGGTTATTGTACAACTAAGGACATTTATTATTGTTCCTTAGTATATCAAGCCCTGTTTAGTAATACTTTTTTGTATATATTGTTTGTAATATTTATTCCGTTTTAACGTTGGCCAATGAAGCGAACATAATATGATTAAAAAAATATATATTCTACATTAACTTTGAATAGATTTATATATAAATAGAATATAATATGAATTCATAAAGGCATATATACTCTTAAGGACTTCTAAACTATACTTACACCTTTGTATAAAGTAGTAAATGCATTCAACAAAAATATAAAAAAAATAAAAAAAAAACAATACATTATTGCACATATAGATAACAACTACGGGAACAAAAATCGTAAATATATAGAGAGGGGTTATTTTTGAAAGTTAATAACACGTGAACAAGTAGGGTACCATCACTGTATAGTATACTGTAATACTAGTGCGAAGCTTTTTAACTTGGAAAAACATTTTTCATTATTATTTTATAAATTTACTTTGAATAATTCATACACCAGCTTCTCTCGTGCGGTATATTTCAATCAAAAATATTGTTCAGTTTGGAAACTATAGAGAAATCAATAGAAGTTGACGTGCACTTCATCAAAAACTATTACCAAATTAAATTTATAATCAATCAATAAAAATTCGTTTGAAGCTTAGCACTTTTACCTTTTTCTTATAATATTAGGGTACGTCCATAGTGCACCGGCTTCCCGCTTTATTGCGGCAAACTAGCGGTGAAAAATAAAGGAACAACTGTATGCGCGTGGCCGTAGTGCGTCAGTGATAAACGATACAAAAACCTACCCTGTTTTATAATGAGTTTTTATAAACAACCAAACTGCCCAAACGGCGAAATTTTTCCAGCGATATGACTGAAATCCTTTTATGAATGGCGCGGTCAATGGCCAATATAAACTATATCTATCGCACCTTAACCCATTATATTTTCTATACGTAGTATACCTTACCTCGTTGGCGTCACGAGCCGCGGAATTTAGAGTTTAATACGTGTAAAACATAGTGGGGACGAAGGACAAAATGAAATTTTGACCGGTACACGGTGGAGTATTAGCATGAAAAAGGTGATCAAAATTCGAAAAAGCAAATGTGTTTAGATTTCCCAAAGAAAGATAAATGATAAGTTAAATCATGTCTGCCATGAATGGCGTTGCTATATGGGTCTGTTTAGTTGCATTCATTTGTTTCAACGAAACGTCAAAGTTGTTACTTCTCACAGATAAGAGGTAAATGGCTAAATTTTATGTTTAAGATTATAAATTGTTGTTGTTCTTGTGCTCCTTTTACGTTTATATTATTGTTTTAATTGAAAATGGCTCAGCAAGCTGCAGGTATGTATTCTACAAAGACATATTATTCGTTTTGATATTCTCTATACTAACGATTTTTTTGCAACTAAAAGTTAGGCGTTCAGAAAATTTGATTAAATTTGTGACATTTTTATTATACTTAGAGATTTAGTCTATTGTCTATATATGTTTTACTTAGTAAACATTGAACTTTCATACAGTAAAATAAAATACTGCGACTTTGCTGATAAAATGAGAAAAAACATTCTTGGATTCCTCTAATTTGCAAATCAGTGATATACTAATGCGAGGTGTAAACCTCGATGGCATTGTTGTTTACAAAGCGATCGCATTAGTGCCATTAGCAGTATAGCACAATTTGGCATTAGTAGCGGCTTTAGTGGTATGGGTATTGGTCGTGGATCAGTCGTAGCATTAGTAGTATTAGTTGCGATATTACTACTGGCATTAGTGGCATTGACCGTGGAAACACTGGAACAGTGATTTTTCTTCCTTTTTTTAGAATCGACGAATTATCCTTTATTTTGTTCATATTATTTCCTCTTTAATTGAAAATAGCAATAATTTATATAAGGTCTACATAAAAAAAATTCGATCAACTATTGGTGTCAAATACCCCACTGTGCGGCAGTAGAGAAAATGGGTAAAATAAAACGTTTTCAAGCGAAAATTGGACAAATTGAAGATTTTTGGGAATAGTTTTGAATATCTTAGGATGGAAATATGTGATTTACAAAAAGTACAATTTAAATAGATTTTTCTAATTTTCTTCTGATTTTGGGGGGGCACTGACCATTTGACCTCATGGTTAAGCCGCCACTGATCATAACCATCTTGTATACATCTGTATATTTTGAAAATTGCAGCACTTTTCAAACAGTTTTCAATTTTGTTGAAAATATACTTCAACGTTTCGTTCTCCATGCGGAAATATTCGTAAAATTTTTGAGGGTATTTTTAACGTATGATATTTACCAAATTCAAAATGAGACCGATTAATTTCATGAACGCGAGTAGTACCTTTTTGTGTCAGTTTAATATAAACATTATCACTAGCTAATAAAAAAATGACATTCCCGCTTTCTGCAAGCGATTGTTAATAGCCACTACCTGCTTTAATGACGCAGGTTCACAAAGCGAAGATCTTGCCTGAACGAGGCGGTGCACGGGGCCGGTGCACTATGGACGTACCTTAATAATAATCCTGGAATATCCTGGATAAAAAGTAAAAACATGGGTTGATAAGAAAGACTTTCTGTTGGTAGTCAAGGCAAATGTTGTGGGTTGTCATGAGATTTTCCTTTTTTAATATAAAATCTGGAAAATATTTTTATAAATATAGGGTGGTCTGAACTGTATTCCGGAAACTTCGGTAGCACATTCTGCAGATAAAGAGAAGTAAGAAAGTTCTTATAAATACATGTCCTAAAATGCTTAGTTTCGGAGATACAGGGTGTAGAAGTTTCATTTTTATTTCGATTTTTTCCAAATAATTTCTGAAGTAAAGTCAATATTTGGATGAAAATTGGTGTCTGGTAGTTTTTTGACATGAGAAATTTGATTTTGATGTCATTATGACTCCTATTTGTAGAGGGCGCCACCTACATGTGTTTTAATTGTTTTGAAGAGTAATAACTTTTTGTCCGCACCTGTATAGAACTACTGAGGGAAAACAATTACATTTTCGTAATTTTTTAGGTGAAAAATTGGTTGGTTGGTGAACAACCCTTCTCGAGATATTTAGAATGGAAATAGTCAATACATGTCATTATTGAAAAAAAATAAACATGTTGAGTAGATAGTTATTTGACTGAAATGATACATTTTTGAGACCTTTTTTACGTTAAAAACGTCGGAAATTTATTTTTTTTTACTTAGTAGTTTTATAGAGGTACGGACGAAAAGTTTTTACTCTTCAAACAAGTTAAAAATATGTAGGTGGCGCCCTCTACAAGTAAGAGTCATATTGACATCAAAATCAAATTTCTCATATCAAAAAACTCCCAGACACCAAATTTCATAAATGACGTTACTTCAGAAATGATTTTGAAAAAATCGAAATAAAAATGAAACTTCTACATCCTGTATCTCCGAAACTAAGCATTTTAGGACATACATTTATAAGAACTTTTTTACTTATTCTTATCTGCAGAATATGCTGCCGAAGTTTCCGGAATACAGTTCGGACCACCCTGTATATATTTTTAAATCAGCTGATATTGGAAGTTAAAATTATTAGATCAAAATGTCAGATTGAAATTGAGTCCAAAATTGATCTAAAAACATTCCTGTGCTTTTTGAAGCAATATGTTTTAAACATGAAATAACAACAAGAAAAAACAATCAATTTGAGCTAGGTTTCTATAAAATAATAATTAAATGTCTTGAAGGGATGCAGTACTTCCTTTCTTTCCATATCTGGGGTTAGTACAGATCTCTATACAGTATAATTGACATTTATTTCTGATTTTTAAGTTTTTAGGCGACCTTTTGACTTGCACTAACCTAACAATTACGCCTCGAACGTGTGTCATATAAAAATAAAGAACTAAACATCTTATACCTCCTACAAAAACGAGGCTATGCACAGAGACATAACTATAGCAGCTACAGTAAGTAGTACCGCCCAAATAGAAACCAGGTTTTCCTCGTAGAATTTCTTTAGTGATACTCCTTGGAACAGGCTGGTCGCTAAAGTCCTGTGTTTGAACACGTGGTGCGCGGTACTGCTGCAGTTGCCGCTGGGTGTCATTTTTGTGACAGCCGACACGTCCGCCGATATGGTGGTGACATTTAGCGTAGGCGAGTACGGGCCTGGCAGTTCACTGGTTGACGTCACCCGAATCGGGCAGACTCTGGTACAGTACTCCACGCCCGGTTCGAGGTTTTCTATGTGGCATTTGGTTTCGGAGGTGCGATTTACCTGTAACAAGTAAAAATTACTTAATATAAAGCCAAGAAAACAGTTGTATGTTGCCAGAGATGTGACTTATTTCAGATACAAGTATTTGAAATACAGATATGATACAAAATACGTATTTTTATCTTATATTTGAAATACTTCTTTAATTTCATCTTGTATTTAGATACATTTTTTTAGTATCTTAGTATTTTATGGATACTTAGTTTGCTAAAATACTTTTATTTATTAACATTAAATCTAAAATAGAACAAAATATACATACTAAAAATTTAAACATTTTTATTCTTTTGTATCTAGCTAGTATTTATGCATTTTTACGTTTTATTTTAATAATTAATACTTTAGTAATTAATTTATTTATTAACAGTAGTTAAACACTCAAAGTACAAATAACTTTGGAAGTGGTATAATGTGCTTACCAATCAAACTTACTTCTCTGATTGCAGTCAAGGGTGATTAAGGACCTTTATTGTCACGTTCTCGTTCAAAATAGTTTATCAGGAAAACTGGAAAATTTAGTTCTTAAAAGAACTGTTTGTGCTTAAAAGTATAATTTAAAAAAAAGACTAATGAACTACTGAAAATCGACAAAAAAACGAGAATTACTTCCAAAGTTTCAACACGTTTATACCGTGCTGGCAACTGTTACTTTTGGGTCGGTACTTACATGTGTGGAAGTAAATCGCATAGGGATCTTATTAAGTCGGAGTGAGAGAAATGCGACGGTGTGCTGTTGCGGCGTTGCCGGTACGCCTTTCCCTATCAGGTGAAGTAAAATCACGATCGCAAACCGCTTATTTTTAAACGACTTTTTTTTCGAAAAGATAACTAGATAAAATCATTAGATATGTTTCTGAGCATCTGAAATGGAATTATAAGGATATCGTTACGGTGTCTATTTTTTTATAAAGATACAACGTCAGTAATCGCGATAATTTAAAAACTTAACATTTTAACAAATAACACGTCATAACTTAAGAACCACTTTAGATATTGAAACTTTTTTTATTTTGAAGATCGGATCTTTTACAATATGTTTAAATAAGAAAAAATCGATAAGGTTGTTGTTTTTCCATTCATAAATTTTAAACAACCCATCCATTTATTTTAGTGCATAGCAATTTTCAGCAACCGTGTAACTTTTTTATTTATAAAGATTTTCACATACTGTCTGCGAAGAAAAAATCATTTTGAATTCAGAGTTCTAATAGCGCGACCACTGTCGAACACCAACTCAATTCCACTTATTTTTAACAAAAATTCAAGTGTTTCTAACTTGCACTTAAAATTTTTCAAGCTATAGGGAAAATTACAACGACTCGTTAATAAATAAACAAAAAAAGTATCGCGAGACGTAATTAAATCGTGAAGCTGAACGCATGACGTACACCTTTCCCTAGAATTTTAAGTACTGATAGAGGTACTGATTGGGTCGACCGGTGGACTGCGCCAAATCTGCTCTATCGCCTTCCACGTCTGAGCGCAGTCTCTCGGTTTATTTTACACGTTTGGCAACGTGTTTACTGTTCTCTCTTTGTTCAGTACATTATAAACGCATTGTACTCCTCTTACATACGGAAATCTCGACCCAAGACTAACCTTTGCCAGCCCTTAGTATACAAAACTAACTGACATCAACTGACATTACGATAATTGTCAAATATTAAACGACAACGTTGATGATCGCGGCGCAATGTGACCCTCATGGCGATAATAAAAATCGCTTTAAACTAATTTTACAGCTTTAATCTAAATAAAATATCCGTTACAATCATTTGCTCTATAAAGTAAAATGAAGAGCTGCTAGGTATCTTAAAGTATACAACAAATTTAAACATTTTTTCAAAATTTCATTTAGTCAGGTTTATAGGCTTTAGTGTCAATTTCGATGTGATTGATGACGTGCATCAGAAAATGTTTTGCGATTACCGTAGTATCTCAAATACGTTTTTCAAAAGTATTTTGTAATTGATATCTCAAGTACTTTGCTTATATCTTGTAATTTGTATTTCAGATACTTTTTATGAGATATCTTGTACATCTCTGGCTATAAAAATGTAGTACTGTAGGTTAAACTGCACAAACTGGCCTGCACAGTCTGTGGCGACCCTTATAAAATAAATATATTACCTGTTTATACACTTGCTCTTTTAGTCTGGCAATTTGGACTTGGTAGATGATAGGATCGCTAAAACCGTTTTTCGAAGGAAGCCATTCGATGGTACAGGTTCTTTGTTCGATTTCAGTGACCTTGGGCATCTTTAGTACGGAAGGAGGTGCAATGCCCGTACTGAATTGGTACTCTTCAGAGAAGTCTCCTATTCCAGCGTCGTTACTGGCATTTATCCTAATGTTTACATTAAATTTGATGTTATTATTAACAACTTTTTGCAATGTTGCATTTTTAACTCACCTAAACCTGTAAGTTGTCAGTTCATGTAGTTTATTTACTTTGCAGGTTAGGGCGGTTCCCCTGTATACACACTGCCATTCTTTCGATCTCAGGTTCTCCATTTCAACGGAGAATTGAGTATAATCGATATTCTTGCCTGGAATATTAATAAAACAAATTATACAGGGAAAATTATAAGTTGTATCTTGCAAGATATTATTTTTTGCGAGGTTTTATATCATACCTTCTCCCCATTTTAGCTTTAGGTAATTGTGTCCACTTCCAATGCACTCTAAAACAGGGGGTGTAGGTGGTAGTCTTAGGGTGGACGTTTTCCAAGTCGATGAAAAGTTTCCTGGACCAACAGCGTTCACAGCTTGAATCTTAATCTATTGGAAAGGAATATATTACTACATGCAGACAATGAACCGATATAAAATTATAAATATAGCATATACTGGGTGTTCCAATTTCTATGTCACACAATATATACTAGGGCTGGCATTCCTGGTTTAGGGTGCCGATTTTCGTGTGTACGAAGAGTGTACATGCTTAGCAAAATAAGATGTACTGAATAAAGACAGAAGGCAAGTATTTTCCCAAGCGCATATAGAATCTAGCGTCAGATTAAGTGGGTATGTAATAAATACTTCGTATTTTTCATACTAAATATACTCAGCCTAATCTCTAAAAAGTGAAGCCTAAACAGTGAAAGAGAAATATGGAATTATGCATAAGTCTATTTCACTGGCATTATTTATTTAACTGCGCATGCCTTACCTGAAGAAGTTTTCATTGGTCGGTGTTTTAAAGGGAAGTGGTTTACTGACGTTTCACCTAACCTTCAATTTTATTTATATTTTTATTATTTATAACACATTATCATGGAGTTGGAAAAATATCAAAAATTAGTTGGAAAAAATAAACTAAACAAAATCATTCTTTTACGCGCACAAATAAAAAGTAGTCCAAACAGAACTAAAACAACAATCAATCGCGAGTTTGGCGCAATCGCAGTTCAATCGATATCCGGGTGAAATAGACTTATGCAGCGTTAATATGGAGCTGAGTTATGTTGTCCTTTTCTTACGGCACGGAAACAGCACATGGGGTTCAATAGGAAATACTGAGTATATTTAGTTATATGTATATGGTGGTATTTTTGCTCTCTCCGACTTACTAGATTGCCATAGCGATTCACTTCTGTAACACAGGTAAATGCCAACCCAAGGTTTCGCTTGCCAGCAGGGTATAGATCATGCCAAATAAACTTTTAGTCACGTGATTAAGCTTGCCCGGCACAGCGTTGCCTACTTTAACATATTTTCTTTTAATCAAAATATTTCAGGAAACAAAAATAAATTAATTTTAAATATATAAACAGTGATTATTTACGTCAACAAAACTTAATTCATTCTATCGCTTTCCCGTTCAAAATATTCCAATAAGGTTGCGATGATTTTTTTACAACGGCTATTAAGCTATCTTGTGCACTTCTCACTAAAAGAGGTTAATAACACAATTCATTTAAACCAAAAACTCTTAATACAAAACTAAAGTATCAAAACGAATGATAATATCAGGAAATAAATAAATAAATATGACAACTTGACATTTTTTACAGCAGATCTAACACCTCAATTCCCAGCGGGAAATTTAAATTCCAGTTAGTCAGCCGGGCGCCGAATATGTCCACGGTTGGCAAAAATGAATCCAAAAAACGCGCCCTCGTTTACGTAACTAAAAGTTTAATTGGTATCGTTTATATCTAAACTTACTCTATATTGAGTTTCTGGTTTGAGGTTTTCTAGACTATACTCTGTAGTAGGTCCGTCAGTCTCTATTGCATTGTCTCCCAGATCAATGTTGTAGTGGATTATTTCTGATCCGTTTGAATTGGGCTCTGACCACCACAGGGTGATCGTGGTAGGCGTGGATTCGCTTTTTAAAATGGAAACGGCAGAGGGCGTTGCAGCTGGTGTGATTGTGGCGGAGATAGGAGAATAAGGACCAACACCTAAAATTAAAATTCATTAGTGCTAAACTATTTAAAAAAATATATCAAAATATTCTTTTTTCTTCTATTTTTTATATTTGCTATAAGTTATTATATATTAGTAGTATCGTTTATTGAGACTTATCCGAGAGTCAAGTAGCGCTAGTAGCGATCAACTCAGCAAGCATCAACTCGAACTTGGTCAAAGATTGTCTAGAGAAGCTGAACAAATATGGGTGCCAGCTAGAGGATCCAATCCCGGGATTTTATATAATATAGTAAAACTCTATTTTTAAGGTTGTATATGCAAAAACTCTCTTTTAGTTGAATTCCTTATAGCGCCGCCGCCGCGCGCCGCCGACAAGCGATACGTCGGTGATTCCCGGAATAATAAAAAACTTTTGAAACAAGAAGTAGCAAACCTCTTAAAACGACTAGATATAACAAGTAAAATCATATTAGATTCTTCAGATAGTTCGGAATCGGATGAAGATTTGCCAATTGCTACTATTCAGAACAGGTACCAGGCCTTAAATGATACGTGTCATTTTCGGAGAGGCTAGATGAAGCGTTAACCAAAAAAATGTCAAATCGCATGACAGTGCCACCAGTAACAAAAACTGAAAACTTGGAAGCCCAAATAAAAAATGAAATGGATACGTTCCAGAAGAGTGGACAACGTGGAACAAACTTACAACTAGCTTTTGATTTTTTAAGTACAATGCCGCCTACAAGTGTAGAATCGGAAAGGTGTTTTTCGTCAGCAGGCTTGATAGTTACAAAATTTCGTTCTGCTATGGGAGATGACACAATAGACAATATTATATTTTTGCGCTATTTTTTTTAAAAATATGGAATAATATTATCAGTCCAGTTTCTTTTTTGTTTTGTTTGAGATTTTTAATTTTTGTTTAATGTTGTTTAAGAAGAATATTTACTTATTTTTGTGTTCCAAAGACTTTGTTTTAACTAATTAACGTTAATTTTAGGAAAGATAAAACTTTCCGAAACGTTAAGCATTTTTTTCTTTGTTAGGCAAATTTTTATTACTGTAAACACAACTTCTGACAAGCAGCGTCCGTTTAGGTTTAACGCAGAAGTGTTTACAAAAAATAACTATTTTATTTTGTAGATTTTTTTGCAGTGCAGTGGCGAAATACCCATAAAGGATTTTTTTGGAGAGATGAATCCGCCACATAGGTACAGACATTTTTTATTAGACACTTTATTATTATAAACTTTTTTTCCGATTTAGCTGAAATTTTGAATGCGCGTATAAGTAATTAAACAAAAATGAAGAAACACATTACTAAAAATTGTATTAATCAATAATTAATATGTAAAAGTAAAAATAAATATGTAAAAATTAAAATAAAACGATTAAAAAAAAGTCGCCTTGACTAGGATTCGAACCTGCCTTACTACAGCTCCAACGTCATAGCAGCGTAAAGTCCTAAGGCTTAACCACGCGGCCACCGAGGACTTGAAAGATTCTATGTAAAATTCTTACTATGATAATGTTTAGTGAAAGTACTTCTTTATTTATAAACATTAGTTTAATTCAGTTTTTAGTATTTGTTCTTATAGCGGCAACATAGATACATTATCTGTAAAAATTTCAACTGTCTAGCTATAACGGTTAATAAGAAAGACCTTTGTGACAGACGGACGGACGGACGGACAACGAAGTCTTAGTAATAGGGTTCCCGTTTTTACCCTGTGGGCACGGAACCCTAAAAAGCAAACAATTTAGCTAGAAACGGAGCGAACACTCCACTAACTGGACCAGAACCGTTCTGCTTTTCAAGTGGAAACCAACTTAAAGCGGAACTCGAGAACCTGGAAGACTCAATCCGTAACCTGGTCTTCCAACGATCTACGACACTCGAAGATATTTAAAGATGGCTTCTGTCATAATTTTAAAAACTCTGAGACATATTTTATTATTTTTACATTCTGCACACCTCATCTTGTAGTGAGCACACTAAACGTGGAGTAAAACAAGACACTAAACAATTTTTTTTGTTTATTTGTAAGCTTTTTCATTATTTTCTTACAATAAAAAAATCTAAGTCTTTCATACTTTATAAAATGCCTGTGTATAAATGAGATTTACTTTAGTTTGCATAAATTCACGAACTAAATACAACCAGCAATAAAATTGGTCTCAAAATAAATTTAGCATAAAATAAACTAAAGTACAACGAACCGATAGACAGAAAATACATTCTAATAGATAACACAACACTGTAAATAGTAGAATATTTAAAATTGGGACAACCAGTACACAGCTCAGTATCTCTACTACCAGAAATCAACAGAAGAATTAAGTTAGCATGGAGTACATATAGAAGAGACTCAATCATATTCAAATCTAGAACGCCACTTTATCTAAAGAATAAAACATTCGACCAATGTGTACTACCAGTCCTGACGCATGCGAAACCTGGACACTTAAAACGGACATTATAAGGAAACTGCAGGTCGCACAACGCTCAATGATACGAAATATGCTAGGAATAACCAAGAAAGACCGTAAAAGAATAGAGTGGATACGACAAAAGACCCAGGTAATAGATAGCATCCATAGAGTCAAATCTCTCAAGTGGCAATGGACTGGACACCTGGCAAGAAGGACGGACAACAGATGGATAGCATTATCATCCTTCCATAATATTTTTATACAAAGGATTAAACAGTATATAATAAGATACCTACCTGCAGAGTTCGTTGCCTGCACCCTAAAGAAATACTTTCTAAAGGGAGACAAATTCTTAGCCTCATAACAGGCGAGAGGTCCTTGGTATATACTGCTAAACAGACTAACATCATCTGGCGTATCTGGGCACATTTCTAACCTGTTGAAAATAATACTTAAATTAGAGAAAATTGTAATTTTAACTGAGGCATTTTCTATGAGTGAGTGTATAACAGGTATCTTGACAGAAAATATGAATGTCAAGTGCTATATAGCCACACTATCTACACTCTACACTTTGATGTATTTTAGAGTTTAATATATTTTGTTCTAGTGGGCCGATTTTAGTGATTTTTTAAGCATCTTGTATCTAAATTATTTGACTTTTTAGTATCTCTTTCTAAATAAGAAATGAAGTTTACTCGTGGTCGCATATTACTTTACCTGTAATCCGAGATTGGAGCACCATTACTTGGTGGTTCGGTCCATTCTATGCTCACGTGGAAAGCCGACCTGCACGTTAAAGTTAGTTTGGTAGGTTCTCCGGGAGGGGCAGCACCTGAGACTACTTTAAGCGTATCAGACCAAGCGCCTGCGCATATCCTATAAGGAAAATAAGAAGTATTTGAAACGTAAGTAACAGAGCAATATGGAATATTATCTACCTATTCACTGCCCTCACTGTAAAGGCGTATTCTTGGCCTGGAATAATACCCTGTGAAATCGTACACTCCGTTTCTTTGTTTTTTCGGATTAGCAGTCGACTGGAGTCGGGATTAGTCTGAAAAGGAGTTTAAATTTAAGGTAAAGTAAGGTATTAGTAGTGATGAGCTAATGGAAGACCACAACAAAAAGTCCTTTGGTCTTGTATAGGCTTGGTGCATTTCAGTAGATTTCGAAAATTCCGACCGCAGCGCTCGCTACGGCAGAAATCAGAAATTTTAGGTTCTGATGTTGATCGCATTGAAATAATATTAAAATCGTGGCTTTGTCATGACATTGAAGTATTTAAATTTTTTAATAGTGCAGTTATTGAAACTACAAAACATTCAAATACGAGGTTTGTGTGATGTAACGCTGTTTCGAGAAATAGAGAAAAAAAAATGGGCGTCGCTTTGTGCTGTGAAAATTTCAAATGTTAAAAAAATTGTCGAAAAAATGTACGTAAAGGAGGGTTATTGGGTGCGATAACATTCAATCACTCAACTTTCCCGGATATTGAACTTTCCCGAAACATCATTTTAAATCTTTTGATCAAAAGCAAAAATCGATTAAAGCAGTTCGACGAAACAAGTGAGTAAACGAAGGGCTCATTATATAATCAAAAAATTAAATAGGCATATACTATGAGACGATACATTATAATTTGCAATATTAATGATATACTTGTTTAAATCAACTAGTGCTTACATTTTTTATGAACATCTTCTAAAATTATAATTATGTACCTTTAAAAAAATCGTTATAATCGAAATAGTATCCGCTAGCAAAATCGGTGCGTAAAACTATGCTAGCTACCGTAGTTGAATTCATCTAAAAAGTTTTATTAGCTTGAATAATAAATTATAATACAAGCCAGCTTCTGAAGATATCAAAATATTTATATTTTTAGAACTTTTACAAATTATACTTCTAAACACTTTTAGAATAATTATCTAATAAATTTTTAGTATATTCGCTATTTAAACCCCGTGTATATGTGTATACCGGTTGTTAACCATATTCTCCGATGGTGGCAGCACCGGCGGAGAATGCACCAAGCCTATAATTCAGTCTTAACTGGTCTTAACGAATCTCTTGAATAAACTATAGCTCTCTTCATTTTTTAATCATACCATAAATTTGTTCAGTGTCGCTTACCAGTTCTAGTTCATAATCTATTACGGGTGCCCCGCCATTATAATCAGGTTCTGCCCATCTCACTGTTAAAGCATCCGCTCTAGCTTTTCCCACTAATTTGGGAGTACCACATTTGCCTGGACCTATCGCTTCAGTCGTTACGGTACATGGGTCCGAGGGACAACTCTGGCCACCTAAAATTGATATTATATATTCAGTACGACCAAAAAATATCTAAAACAGCTTGATCATAAAACTTTTACATCGTACGGTACCTAATAATGATCTGTCAGGGACGATTTCAACAGAAGACGTCAATTATCTGTGAATTAAAATCACAGACACTAACTGTCTCTGTCTACAAGGATCATATCATAGGACAGACTTCTAAGATTCCTACAAACGCTCAGTATACACTATTTATATGGGAATGATGTTTTTAGAGAACAATTCTGTATGGAATCCGGCAAGGAGTATGACCTATCCACATTTATGAGATACTCAGTTGAAGAAGAGGAAGAACAATGGAAGTCAATGTATAAGTGATACCAATTAAACTTTTGAATTGCGTAACCGTGGACATATTATTCGGCACCGGAGCTAACGATTTGTTACCGCTGAGGATTCAGTTGGTAGCTCTGCTGTAAAAATGTCAAGTTGTCACATTTAATTATTTATTTCCTGACATTTATTTTGCATTACAAATTTTTTGGTTTAAATGGTGTGTGATGATACTTTAAGCTTAAACATTTTTTACTAGCATGACCTTGCAGTCAAATAAATGTTTTTTAGAACTTCTTTTAGTGTTGGTGTACCAGATAACTTAATAGCCGTTGCAAACAACTCATCGCAACCTTATTAGGTATTTAGAACGGGAAAGCAGTAGTAATGGCCCTTTATATCCTTAAGTGCTGTTAAGAGTGAGTTTGTTGATGTAAATAATAACTGTTTATGTATTTATAATTAATTTATTTTGTTTTCATAAAATATTTTGATTAAAGAAAATATGTATAAAAGTGGGCAACGCTGTGCCGGTCAAAGCTTAATCACGACTAAAGTTTATTTGGTAATTAACATGTTCACGCTTGATCCATTTAACGGACAATAGCTCCTCTATTAAGGCTGGGGCATTGAATTTTTGTAAATACCGCATATTATTTTGTATTTATTATTTTAATACCTACCAGATGATGCACAGCTAACTCTCAATTGGTATGTCGTTCCTGGCGTTAACCTATCGCAAACAGCTTCCGTTTCCGAACCACTATAAACTTGTTCGTACCCGCTACCAGAATTGACTTCTAAGATATAACTAACAAGACAAAATAATATAATTAATAAATATACGAAATCCAAATAGCTGGAGACAACTGTGGACAATACTGGTTCTTATTCCACTGAGAAACGTCATTAATTATTAATTAATTATTCCAGTGATGATAATTATTCAAGTCAAGTCATAGATAAAGGAAATAAGTTTATATTGGAAAGTGCCCATAAGGACAATGTAAATACTATTTGGCGCTATTCTTCCAACGGTCGCTCTCCAAAGCTTTTGATAATTTCGGAGCGGTTCAGCTTTTTCCGGAATTATGTTGTAATTAAAATGTAAAATTATGTTTAAATTAAACTCACAAGATAGAATTAAAATTAAACACTTTTCGGTATTTTTTTCAATGAGGGCAGTTTAAATTTTGAAAGATTTTATATTTTGAAGATTCTGACTTTGACAAAGAGAAAATTGTTCTGTTCTTGTTTACGGTTGTTCTTAACATATAATAATGCCAGATCCCGTACAACGTATGCACCCAAAATAATAATTATAAGTTTGGCGGAAGCCGAGCATTCCATTCTATACTTGTTTCCTTTATCTATGAGTCCAAAGTGAAGTTTAAATAATAACAAATATGTCAGTTAAAACGTCAAACAAAAGTCTGTCGGAAACATCTGGGGCCATAATTTAGGATTTTATTAGGTACTTACTACAGGTGATTCAGCTCCACCAGTGTTATGAGGTGGTTCCCATTTTAATCTAAATGAATACGCATGTATCCTGCCCTTGACTACAGGTTTAGAGGGCCTATCCGGTCTATCAGGTTTGGTCCTAAAAGTAACTTCTTCGGACCATGGTGACGTCCCACCCTCGTTATTAGCTTTTAACCTGAAATTTAAATTGTTTATTAATATACAGGGTTCAGCAATAGTGCGTCGGGCATCTGTAGCTCTTAGAATAAAAAAAACTTGTGAATTTTGTTTAAAGCCCCGTTCTCAGAACGTTGTATTGTCGCTGGCGACACAGTTTGACATTTTAAACAACCAATGAGAGCTGTGTGGTAAATTTAAAATTGACAGCTGTTTGAATTTTATATAAATCTCATTGGTTCCTTTGACATGTCGCTGGCGACAGACGAAGTTCTGAGAACGGAGAGCTTAAGTGCAAACCTAAAGTACCTATGTATTTATGGAAAATATTTTAACTTCTACAGGGAGGCTCAAAAAAGTGTGAGTGGATCGGGATGATTTTTTTAAATGGGACACCCTGTGTATTATTGCATTTTTGGCTTTCTTTCAGACCACTTTACATAATCCTAAGATATGAGTAAATATATTTCGGTAGTTTCAGAGATATTAATAAATAAATAAAAAATATATATTTTTTAGGCTTTCTTAAAAAAATTATTAAAAATACAAGAACTGTCCTGAATTCAACCTATTTACTTTAGATGGTCTGTACTTACTTTCCTATAAATATCGTATTCTTAAATCACACAGGGTGTTCAAAATTCTACGCCAAACTTTCGAAAATATAAAATAATTTTTCTTCTTTTTTTTAAATGATGTAGGCTATTTCTTTATTAGATGGAGAATTAAAAAATGAACATTTTTTGTATTTAAAGTATTTCAAAATTTTTAACGGTTTCGCAGATACTCGCGGTATTATTTCACATTACTCTTTCAACGGTAAAATACGAGAGAAATATCATTGGGTGGCTTTGATAAAAATTTACTGTGGATAATGCCATATGAAATATAACACCGAGAACTTCGAATATCTACAATATTCCTTAATAGGTATATACCTATATATCCTTGGTATATACCCAGATAGTTACCTGTAAATACCCATTTACGTCAAAACTGCTTTAAATTGAATATATACAGTACGTCTGTCCGTTCTGTAGCTACGGGTATCCGTGAGAGGGGAAACGATATTCTCTCGATGTTTTTCGTAAAAAAATAGACGACGCGTCCCATCAATAAAAATTCAACAAATTTGCAAGTAGCCAATAACATGAGTGGGCGGAGCGACTTGCGGTGACGCACTCGTCAAATCGACGTATAAAATATATTGCTGTTTATTTAAATGTTTTTTGTCCGCATTCCTTTCATAGACACAGATCCAGCAGATGTACTGTACTAAATTATGATGGCTAAAACATACAAATCCATACCTAAAAGTATAATCACTGTAACAGCTAAGTCTCTGGCAGATGTAGTACGTCTCCCGTCCGTTGTAAACGTTCATGTGGCCGTACTTGGTTTTGGGATCGTTCATTTGAAGCACGAACTCGTCATCTTTAGGCCGGTGGTTCCATTTCAAGTGAAGCGTTGAGACGGTGGCCTCTATCAGTGTCGGAGCATCGGGTTGAGCTGGCGGGTTCTCTGTGGTTCTGAAAAAAACATCAAATTATTCAAATAATTACATGCAACTATCTTTGAATGCGGTAGACAATTAATTTCGCGCCACTTTTCATCCGTAAATTTTTTACTCCAGCCCGTCAACGGAGAAAGATCGTACGATAACGGACGTTTTGACACTTTTTTGACAATTTTAATCTAACCTTAATAAAAATATAATGGTACAAGAGCTAGCACCATCAGGAAAACAAGAATTTTAAAAAAGCTGGTTCTTTAATATATCTTTTATTCTCCTGACCAAAGTGCGAGCCGTCTGGCTGCCGGTAGACTACTGCGCATCACATCTGTACAGGGTATCCCATTTTCTTGTGTTTTATGAGATTTCTCGTTTATGAGTAGAGATACAATAACGCGATTTTCAGACTACCTTGCCACCTTTTATGAAACTAAATATGCTACACATGGGTTGGTCCTACCCTCCTTACTTCCTGAAGTCCAGGGCGAATTTGCGATGCGCAGTAGTAAACAGCTGTTTAATACAGATATGATGAGCAGGAGTGAACGCGCAGCTAGACGGTCCGCACTCTGTTCAGGAGAGCATAGCAAAATATATATATTAAAGAACCAGCTTTCTTAAAATTCTCTCTCGAAAACGTTGCTAGCTCTTAGAGTATATACGTATAAGTAAAACAGCGAAATCGTTATGGAAATAAAAATATAAAATGACACCAATTACAAGAAAATCGTACAGTGCGTCTGTCCGTTCTGTAGCTACGGGGTATCCGTGAGAAGGGAAACGATATTCTCTCGATGTTTTTCGTAAAAAATTAGAGGACGCGTCCCATCAATAAAAATTCGACAAATTTGCAAGTAGCCAATAAAATGAGTGGGCGGAGCGATTTGCGGTGACGTACTCGTCAAGTCTGACGTATAAAATATGCTGTTTATTTAAATGTTTTTGTCCGCATTCCTTTCATATACACAGATCCAGCAGACGCACTTTATATCCGATGAACGGAGGCATAAAAATGCAATAAATTAAAAAACTGCGTAATTTTCTAACCAATCAAAGTTTTTAAATTTAGCCCATAACATTAATATCGCATCATCCTATCGTCGGACAACGGATGCATGAAAATCAAGTTTAAGTTGAAATATATAAAGACAATGGAATTTTAGTATTAGTTAACTTATTATTTGTTTATTTGTTATTTACCTGTAAGTTACAGTGTCAGAGTAAGCACTCTTCCCCACCTCGTTCACTACAGCTAATCTAAACCTATAGGCAGTGGCGGGTAGCAGTTTTTGCAGATTAAACTGCGTCTTTCCCCTACTTTTATGGATCTCTTCGAATTCGCCTCCTTTCCCAGCATCGTATTCTAGGCTATAGAAGAGTATTCTAGCTCCATTGTCGTTTACTTGGTTCCACCTTAAAGAAAATTAAAAAACATCATCTAGGTTGGGTATGAAAATTACTAAATTGATAATTTTAAATTAATTATAGATTAATTTATGACTTATAAGCGATACCAATTAAACTTTGAGTTACGTAATCGAGGGCACCATTTTTAAATTCATTGTTGCCAACCATGGGTATAGTCAACACCGGGTTGACTAACTGAAATTTAAATTTTCCGCTGGGGATTCAGGTGGTAGCTCTGCTGTAAAAAATGTCAAGTTGCCACATTTATGTATTTATTTTCTGACATTGTCATTCGTTTTGATACTTTAGTTTTGTATCACGAGTGTTTGGTTTAAATGAATTGTGTTGTGATACTTTAAGTTGAAATATTTTTACTAGCAGATCTTGCAGTCGAAAACTGTCCTTTTTAGAACCACTTTTAGTGCGAAGTGTACAAGATAGCTTAATAGCCGTTGCAAAAAATTCATCGTAACCTAATTAGAATATTTTGAACGGGAAAGCGGTAGTAATGGCTCTTTATATCCCTTAAGTGCTGTTAAGGAGGTGAGTTTTGTTGATGTAAATAATAATTGTTTATATATTTATAATTAATTTATTTTTATTTCCTTATATTTTAATTAAGGTAAAAGAAATATGTAAAAGTGGGCAACGCTGTGCCAGTCAAACTTAATCACGTGACTAAAAGTTTATTTGGTCTGATATATCTTTGTTTTATTTCTTACTGAAGTAATATAAGTTTTTATTAGTCTTGGTTGCTCTAACCATAAAAATAGAGTCATAAGTCCCTTGTTACATTATTAACGGGAATTAAGATGCCATAATTCCTTCTAGCTTTTATAGGTAACAACCAAGAACGGCAAACTAATAGGATTGCTCATCCTCATAAGATGTATGTTCGCCTCTTCCCGTGCTTCAGCTGTCAGTTGTGACGTCATTGTAGTCCTTGTCGTGATAGTGTGTATTATTATTTGCCTATGGTAAACTTATAAAAATAACAGCTGAGAAATTTTGAGTTAATTATTTTGTCAATTTTAAATGTGAAAAAGGTGATTTTACAGTTTTTAGAGCTATAGAGTGTATAAATACGTTCATTTTGTGTTGTGGATTGTGACAAAGTGCTTACTAAGTGCCTACGATATTGTTTATTAATTATTTTAAAACAAAATATGGAAGTACTCTAAAAAGAATGCTTGCAAAAGGTGATGCTGGGAACTGCTGTTCTTAAAAATGCATTATCCGAGTATTTAATACGATTTATACAGTTAATTTTCTATACTGCATACACATAAGGTGTTTAAATAAATAAACTAAATAATGAACGTTTTACATCCGGCAACCAATAATACACACGCTATCATAACCAGGACTACAATTACGTCACAAAGCGAGGAGTTTTCGCATGCACCTGGCAAACATTTTGGCTGAATGAGCAGTCCTATTAACAACCATCAAATACAATCGAGATTCTGAGTAATAATATAAAATGAAAATGGACACTCGTCAAACTACTCTAATAACTTATTTACGTCATTAATGCCACCACGATAATTTATTTTGACTTATTGTTTCTGTTTAAAAAAATCTTAGTGATGTATACCTGAGTTGTAATGAATTCTTAGTCTTGGCTCCTAGTTTTGGCGGCAAGGGCTGGTCAGGTTCACAGGCCGGCGTTACGAATTTCACAGGGTCAGTGGCGTATCCTTGCAATTGTCCAAATGTACTTGCAAACATACAGAGTATTCTTGAAGCCAGGTTTTAAATCCTAACAAGACAAAATAATATCGAATTAAATAATTAAAGAGCTTATTGTAATAACATGATCAAGTCACCTCAACCATATCATCAAAATTAGTAACTAGTGTTTTTTCTCTTTGCCTTTTATCCAACAAATTTATTAGATAAATACTTAGCAAGTTAAACTAAATTAACCTCGTCAGTGCGTTTGAGCTCTAACGACTCACTTACTTGTATTCACAGGAATGCGAGGATCCGTTGTAAATTGACTTGAATTTCATCTCCCTACTTTTGTCGCTCAGCAACACCTCGTACCGCAAATCCGTTTCGGATATGTCGATCTCGTTGGTGCCGCTGTCGTTGCTTACGGATTCGGACAGGTGCAGCGGGGGCGCCCACTGCAATAAGGCACTACGGGAACTTAGTTCTAAAACCTGAAAAACATACTATAATTACGGCTCTGGTGCACAATAGATCCCCACGATCCCCATTTAACACTTTTTTGGGATTTGTATGCAAGATTATCTTAAATTGAACATTTTTAAGCAAAAAAATTGTTGGATGAATGTGTTTTATCTTTAAAAAGCGGCAAAAAAACGTATTTTAGGTACAGGCGACGGACAGTAAATTGTAAAATTTTCTACACGGATTCAGTAAAAACATCACATATTAGCACTTTATTGCCTTATATAGACGCGGAATGACCTAATTTAAGCACAAAAATGTAACGAATCATCTTTGTAAGCATAAAAATTAAGAAAATATATTTATTTACATCATCTCAAGCCAGCAATTTTATGACTTTTTCGATTGACAGTTAATCGATCATCGTATGTCAATGGGTATGTCATCTATGGCCTTCGCATAGAATTTGCGACGTTGTCAATAAAATTATAGGATTTACCAAGACTCTTTTGGATTTATAAAGCAGGTCACTTTTTTTTTAATGCTAATTTTCCAAAATTAATAACTGGGAATTTGCAATTTGTGCACTCCTCTACCGGTATCATCATAAACACATAGCATTTTTTACCTTTGGTGCTTGCACTGATGATAAAACATCCGTTACCACCTGTACGGAATCTTCCTCATCAGGCACACTGCTCTCTTCTCCATCTTCGCTCGTACCTACACTATTCATACCCTTATCTTTCGTTGACCCTGTAGGACTCCGTTTGAGGCCGTTGACTAAATCTTTTCTGAAATATAACAATTTTTATAAAAAAAAACAACTATTGTTATGATCAATAATTTCAATTTTATTTGAAAACTTACTTTACTTCCAGAACAAGATTGGACGTCAATTTTAAGATATACCGGGTGCGTCTCAAAAGTGGCTCACCTCTATAACTTTTTTATTTTTTTTAGATAAAAAATCGAGATTTGGTATCTATACTAATATTGTTATCTGTGCTAATATATAAAATCCTTTAGTGACTGACATACTGATTAATTACGATCCTGCTCAAACCACTCCATGTAAGAAGCTCAATTTTGGCATACAGGTTGATTCTAGAGTATAGAGGTTCGATAAGAAGGGATTTTTTCGAAATTCCAGTTCCAAGAGGGTGAAACCACCCCTCAAATATTACAATATTTTTTATTTAAAAAACGGTCAAGTTTCCGAAAAAACGCTTAAACACGTATATTTTCCTTTTTTTACATATTTTAAGATTTTTTAAAAATGTATACAGGGTGTTTCGAAAAATCTGGTCATTGATTAATCACGATCCTGCTTAAAGCGCTTGACGTAAAAAGCTGATTTTTGGAAAACAGATTGACTTTAGGGTGTAGAGGTTCGATAAGAAGGGATTTTTCGAAACTCGAATTTTAAGAGGGTGAAACTAACCCTCAAATATTAAAATATTTTTATTTTAAAAACCGGTGAGGTTTTCGGAAAAACTCTGAAACATGTATAGTTTATTTTGTTGTTTTACATATATTAAGATTTCTTAAAAATTTATACAGGATGTTTCATAAAATATGACCATTAAGTAATCACGATTCTGCTTAAACTGCTTAACGTTTAAAGCTGATTTTTGGCAAACGGATTGACTGTGGGGTGTAGAGGTTCGATAAAGAGGGGTTTCTCGAATTCCGTGAGGCTGAAAACGCCCATTAAATATTACAATATTTGTTATTTAAAAAACGGTTAGTCTTTCGGGAAAACGCTTGGACACGCATAATTTATTTTAGTTTTTTACATATTTTGAATTTTTTTAATAAAAATCATACAGGGTGTTCCAAAAAGTTGGGTAATTGATTACTTATTTTTGGCAAACGGATTTTTCGAAAGTCAAATTCCAACGAGATGAAACTACCCTTCAAATATTTCCAAGTTATATAATAATCCCGCCATATTGTTTTTTCTCATGCTGACATAAATGTGAGAAAATTTTATCCAGTATTGTATGTTAATGGAAATTCTTGCTTTGCTTTATCATCACCATTACAAATGATTAAGTCGACGCGAACGAAGTCGCTGGTATGACATAAATTAGGCTTGATTGACGTATTCATTGTTTTTTGTCACTTCCTGTTTCGCCGGAAATGACTACTACTTTTGATTTTTAAATTGTACCCTAGGTGTTTTGTTGCTTTATTCAATAGAAAATGACACTCTGAATAGAATGACATATCATATGTCAACTTTTGATATTTTCGAATATGGTTTAGTAAAAAAAAATAACGAGGGTGCCATTTAAAAATCAAAAGTTGTAGTCATTTCCGGTGAAACAGGAAGAGGCCAAAACAAATTGAATACTTCAATCAATCCTAATTTATGTATGTCATATACTAACATACCAAATATCGTTTTTTTATCTGATAAAATAAAAAAGTTATAGGGGTGCGCCTCTTTTGAGAAACACCCGGTATACAAAAAAAAATGGCATCAAAACATCTATCTTGTCTATTAGACTAAAACTAGGTCTACACCTAACGTTTTACCTGGCAGTTTAGCTTGTCAGGTAAAACTGTCTAGAAAACTGTGTGTGACGACAGTTCTCAAGACGGTCATTCTTCAAGGCGAAGAAGTTAATTTAGTTCATAACTACCCACAAGGTTTTACTTGACACGTTTGGACTGGTCAGGCAAGACTGACAGGTAAAACATTGTGTGTAAAGGGGTCATTAGAACTTAAACTAATAAAATATTATATTATACCATACTTTTATATTTAACGAATTTTTGGAAAATCATTATTTACCTAGGTGATAATTCTGGCCCTTTTTGATGCTTTTCTTGGAGTTTCTTTTTTAATTTTATATGCTGCCTTTGTGCTCTCTCATCCTGGAAAATAAACGACATTACCAATAAGTATATTATACTCGTACAGTATTTTTAGTTACAAGAAAAACACACTAAGGTCAAAAAGAATAATTTCTTAGTGCATGTACCTGAATTAATAATTTCTCCTGTACCTACGTATATAATTTATTAATATATTATATATAAAATAAAAATACACACATGGCCAAAATTATTGCATATATCGTTTAAAAATATACGAAAAGGAATTTAAAGAATCTTTTTTTATACATAACTTTGATAATCTGTAATAAACATTTTTTTGTTAAAATGAATATTGTAAACAATGTTTATCGTTCAGACCCAATATTATTCAAATTCTTGCACATTTCGATTTGTGGTCTCTTGGGTTTCAGAAGAAATTTGACCATTGTTTTGGCCTTAAAATGTCTAGAAACATTATTTCACAGTTTAATGGAGTCAGAATAGTAACACTGTCTCAACAGGGCTACCGGCAAGTTGCAATAGCTGAAATTGTAGAAGTTAGCCAAAGCGATATTTCGCGAATATTAAAAAAAAATCAGTGAGACAGACAAGGTTACAGACCGGCCTGGAAGAGGTAGAAAGAGAGTTACTACTGCTGTGCAAGACCGTCAAATATCCCTAATTGCACGACGCAATCCCCTGCTTTCTAGTACTTCTATTAAAAATGAGTTAGCTCGCCTTGAAGGAGTAAATGTTTCAAGAAAGACCATAGCAAGAAGACTCCATGACAGAAGATTACATTTAAGGAGGCCTCACTCTTGTTTCGAAACTTAATTTACAGCACAAAATTAGGCGACTACAATGGGCTGCGGAGATGAGAGCAAATGGACCTAATTGGAATTTCGTCATGTTTAGTGATGAAACAAGAATAGGATTAGTATCAGACTCGCGACGAACTTTGGTCTGGAGAACATCTGGAAGACGAGCATGCTTGAATGCAGCTCAACCCCATGTCCCGTTTCAAGGGGGAAGCATTATGGTATGGGCAGGTATAATGCACGGAGCTCGAACTCCTCATGATTTTATTGATGGCACAATGACAGGTGCCTCATATCTTAGAGACGTTTTAGAGCCTATTGTGCGTCCATTTCGAGGGACAGTGTGGGTTAAATTTGTTTACATGGACGATAATAATGCTCCTCCCTATCGCACTTTAGCGGCTCGCGAATTTTGTGAGGAAGAGGGTATAAGAAAACAGTGGTGGCCACCGATGTCTCCAGATATGAATGTGATCGAGCATGCTTGGGACATGCTAAACCGCCATATTGCCAAAAGCAATGATCCCCCCCTACTTTAAATGAATTGAAAATTGCTGCGTGCGAAACATGGGAAGCCATTCCTCAACATCTTCTGGACAACTTAATTGAGGGCATGCCACGTCGTCTCACAGCTTGCATTGAGGCTCGGGGAGGCAATACAGATTATTAGTTGGGAGAAATAATTAAAATTGTTTTCAATAATTTCTGTGTAAAATGAAAATTGTTTTTGTTGATTTTCACTCATTATGAAATAAAATTATAATAACAGCCTAGAAGCACTTAGATTTTTAATTTTATATTAGTTAGTCGTGTAGTAAGCCAATATATCCAAAAATATAAAAAGAATCATGTTAGGTCCAAAATAAAATAAAAATATCGTTATAATATGCAATAATTTTGGTCATGTGTGTATATAAATGTTTCATTGGTGTGTAATAAGTTTATTAATTACCTTATAATACGCTGGGTTGGGGGGTGGCGAATGCCCTAAATGCGTTGGACTAGGTATAGGGTGAGGGCCCTGCATGGTATGGTAGGGTTGTGGCGGGAAACCGGCTATCCCTCCTGGGTAGTACTGTTGGGACTGGTTGCTTCCGCTCCCTGGACCACCGCTACCCTATAACAAAATAGAAACTGTCAATATATTTACGTTTTTCTTCCTTATAACCATAATATTTTTATCATATCTTTTTTAAAATAAAAAAATATCTTGTAAAAAAATTACTACAACTGTAAAAAACATGCAATGCATTCTTTAAAAATTACTACAACTGCAAAAAAACAAATACAACGCATTCTTTATAAACATTTTTGCTTGTTCTAAAACGATTAATCCCGTTTATACTTTTACAAATTTCCATACAGTTTTATATACAGACAAAATTAAAAATGAAAATATATAAGCGATGCCAATTAAACTTTTAGTTACGTAATCGAGGCCGCCATTTTTAAATTCATTGTTACCAGCCATGGACAAATTCGGCGCTGTGCTGATTAACTCGGATTTAAATTTCCCGCTGGGGATTCAGGTGGTAGCTCTGCTGTAAAAAATGTCAAGTTGCCACACATATTTCTTTTTTTCCTGACATTGTCATTTGTTTTGATAATTTAGTTTTGTATTACAAGTTTTTGGTTTAAATAAATTGTGTTGTGATATTCTGAGCTTAAAAATTTTTACTAGCAGACCTTGCAGTCGAACATTGTTCTTTTTAGAAAGTCTTTTAGTGCGAAGTGTACCAGATAGCTTAATAGCCGTTGTAAAAATCTCATCGCAACGTTATTAGAATATTTTGAACAGGAAAGCGGTAGTAATAACCCTTTATGTCCCTTAAGTGCTGTTAAGGAGGTAACTTTTGTTAATGTAAATAATAACTGTTTATATATTATTTATAATTAATTTATTTTTGTTTTCTAAAATATTTTGATTAAAAAGAAATATGTAAAAGTGGGTAAAGATGTGCCGGTCAAGCTTAATCACTGATTATTAAGCTGGACTATGCAACAATTAATAACAATGTTGTTGAATAGGTTCTTCTCATAGTTCTTCCACTGATATTAACTAAAGTAACTGAAAAAATTCCGCCGTATTGTTGCTCCAAGACAGAATAAAAAATTTATAATTGAGTCTTAAAAAAATTTAAAGTATTTTTATTATTAGCACTTGAGTACTTTGCTATACTCATTAATAATAAACCGAAAATTAATAATAACAAATTACTCAAATAATAATAACAAATATCTTACATTATTCTCATTCAGAAAAAAATGTGTGATTCTTATGTCTTTATAGTAATAATTTAAAAATTCCAGGAGATATTCCTTAATAATTGACACAAAAATAATCTTGCCAGCTGACACTATCAAGCAGTAATTTGGTAAACAATCTAAAATTTCTCCTTAAATTGTATTTATTTATGATCAAACCAAGTCATTCTTAAAATAACAATGTTACTAATTCAGAGGAGTGTTTACAAAATATACTATTATTAATACGATGAACTATAACATAGGGAATTTAATAAATAAATCAAAATTTGTATTAATTCAACATATTTCTGTTGTTTACCTTCGAGTTCTCCATGTCGTTTGCTATTATAACTCAATTTTTCACTTTCCTCACTTGTAATTACTTCATCTATACATTCGTTTAGCACGAAATAAGCGAAACATATGTTATTTCGGTAGCCGTAACGGTACTTTTTAGCCTTATCTCCAGAACGAACACGAATTTGGCGGAACTATGTGTACTGCGTCAAGTACCACGTCGGCATACTAAAATTGCTTATCGATAAAACGTTAAAACGAGTAAAATATAGAGTGTTTCAAACAAATTCCTCGCTAAAGAACATGCAAAAATAATATAATTCATTGTCATTTAGTTTGTTCTGTCTGTATGACACATGGCTTAGACTTAACGACTAGACAAGAGATATAAGGCAAAGATATAATATATCGTCTTATTGCTGCCAAAAGTCACTAACATTTTTCCGAACAACCAAATTCAGCAAAATAAAAACACTAAATCACCACAATACACCAAAATTTAGTGTTTTTATTTTGCTGTGTAACACCAAAGGTTCCAACCCTCAACTGTAACCAAATTCAATCACTATGTTTTGAAGCGGAGAATCGATTGCAAAAGTCATTAACTACGATTTTTGGCTATTTATGTTTTATTTTAATACAGAATAGTTACTAACTATAACATCTTTATGCAATGCAATTCATCTTTAGACGTTTTTTTCTCGGAAGTAATAAAAAGTAAGTTAGTGACTTTTGGCAGCAATGGGACGATATCATCAAGATCAACAGTTGAATTTTGTCGAATAATGTTCATAGTTGCTTGTATACCGGGTGGTGCATCATCGTTGGAAACAGGAAATTTCATGCAAATTTTGAACTGTTCTAATATTGGCTCCCCTGTAAATTTTACAGCAAAATCGTAAATAGGTCTGCGTATGCTGAATACACATGCCAAATTTGAACAATTTCGGACAAGCCGATTTTAAGTAATTTAAGAAAAATTGCGTCTATTTTTAAATTAAAAATGGAGAGGTAACAATGCAAAACCAGTCAAATGTCATCGTAGCTTAAGTTGTCAAATGTAATTTGTTGTGCTGTCCACACTACTACGTTATAGTACTCACAAAACATCCATTTTGACAATGACTAAAGAATATAAGGACATGCAACACCCATATACGGGCAGAATTTGTGACATTAGACGCCATTCTTTTGATGGCAACGAACGAGTCATCAACTGGTAACCATCGACAATTTTAGCGATTTTTAATAGTTTGTGGGGAGTGAACTTTGTATAAACTTTATTACAATGGTGATTAGTTGTTCAGCTCATGTGTAAAAGCCGTTTTATTATTCATAGGTAAATAAACAGTCCAATCCACCTTTTTAGCGTTTTCTTAGTTTTCTTATTGAATTCGATAATTATTTTTCTGATATTCTATGTACTTTGATGTGTGCTATACGTCGATACTAGTTTTGTACCTTTTGTTAACATTTTAATACGTTTTTTTCGCAATTAATTAGTATAATACCACCGTATACACCATAGGCGTAGTCAAAACATTTATCAAAAAATATAAATATCTCCTCAAACAGCTAAGTTAAGAAAAATATGTGCCACGGCACTGTTTGGTGACATCGTTTGATGCTCTCGGGTGTTATTTGTCCTTGGATTCTTTAGTCATTGCATTTTGACTTATGTCATGAAATGAAAGTAAAAGAAGCGCCCATTTGAGTTTGTTCGCGCACTAAATTCATGAAGTATTGATCCCTATCTTTGATCCCTATATTTAATTTAATTTTTTTTAATATTACAGAAACATCTTTTTAATTGTAACGAAAAAGGTATATTAAAATTACGTTATATATTAAAAATTACAACAAAAAATTATATATACCTAACATATAATTTAATTTTAATATACCTATTTCGTCACAATAAAAAAAAAATGTTTAAATCAATAACCAATCGAACGTTTATAAAAATAAAACAATTATTGATGTTATTATGAATTACGTATTTTACATACCTATACTACTGAAAAAAAACGTACAAAACAATTCGAATCTTTCCGAGGATTTGGAAAATGAAAAAAACTGCCATTTTTGTTGTCGCAATTAGGAACGCTACAGTTTTTCTTCGCAGGTTTGCGTTCTCGGTCGAAAAAAGCCAATGCAATTAAATAAAAATAATTAAAATAAAATGTACTTGGTAAAATAAGTACAAATATACCAGTAATTAATGAGGAAATTGCCAAAATAACACACCGAATACCTATTTACAAAACACAACGAAATAAAAGTATGGACATATTTAAAAAACAAATGAATATTTGTTAATTTTTTAATGACTAGCAGCGCCTCTAGTTTTTGTTCGCACAGTATAGCTTTCACTTCCAGTCATTGCCATTACAGAAAATGTTCTCAAGGGGGATGTTTTGTTTCAAAACTATTTTTATATTTATTATTGTATTATTTAGTAGTTATCATTGTTAAAAACTGTTTCAATGATTACTTGGAAATTGTGTTAATGTTTCGTAGTTAAACTCATGGTTTCAAAAACTTATCGCTTTTGAACAATGCACCATTACTTCCCATATCAACATTTTTGTTATAGTTGTTTTTTATTGGCCAAATACGCGAGACTCGTTATGATGACGCCATTCAATGACGTCTTTTTAAGTTGAAACATTTTAAACAAAAATGTATTACATATATTGATAATAAAATTTTAACCAAAAGTGCTAAAATTGACATTACAAATACCGATACTTACTATAGAAAATGATTCTCTTATTTATTTAGTTTCTTGATCGGGATCAACTGTACGCTGTACAATTAATTATTTTACAGTAATTTTCTGAAATTCGCAATAACATCACTGTTAATTTAGGTTTTGACACAATAATATACTCCTAGATTTGCTACTTCTGGACGAAACTAATTGCAGAATATATAATATATGTATAGCACAAAAAAACCTCAGAAAAGCCCTAAAAAACAAATTCAAATGTTCAGTTGAAACACGCCAGTGTAAAATGGGGGTTTATGATGTCAGTTCCATCCAGTGTTGCCAGAAATTTTCGAGCGAATTCTTTCAACACACAAAGCCTTAAAAAACCTTTATATTCTTTCAACTTCACAAAAAATTCCAGATTTTGTGAAAAATCGCCAAATTTCGTGTATTTTACCTATTTTATAATTAGGAGAAAATTTTTAAAAATTTATTTCTGGTAATTTTTAGACAGCGATGTACTAAAATAAACTTTTTATTAATAAAATAACATGATCAAAAATGCTGTAATAGATACTCGACAGCAGTATTATAAAGTATGTTTCAAAAAATCCATTGCTTACAATGACTGCTTGAACAGAGAATAATTAATCATACAACTCGCCATGATCAGCTGACTTATTAGATATGTTTTCCGTTTATATTTTGATTTCTTTTCAACATCACGAACTTTGGTTTAGTTATGGTATATGTGGAATACGATGTGTTAAAAGATAAAAATGTATTTATTAATTTTTTGTTAAATGTAAAAATCTTTAAAAATGCGGACTTTTTGACAGCAACATTACTTTAAACTCAGG